AAGAAACAGACGGTGGATGGGCGGCTACTTGGCATTTGCATAGCGAATGTGCCAGCATCATGGGTAAGCGGGCCTCAGAGTATTCACGATCTCCATGATCGTGATGGGATGTCGTGTGTCGAGTACTGGGGGGAGAGCATAGTGAGGAGGACCCATAGGGTACAGATTCCATAGGATGAAATACATGTCGAGAGTCTTCGACTCGCGACATCGAGTTCTCACGGCGAGGGCCGTTAGAGGACTCGATATAACCAGACATATAAGACATATTGAGAGCTGTACAATCACACGGGTTCAGTTGAGTGACAGGGAGGGTTGTTACAGAAGACGGTACACGAGACAGTTGTAGAGCAGTTGTTAGTTAGCGGGAACTGCCTTCGGCGTTTCCATACAAGACGCGTGACTATCTACAAATGGTAAGGTCACGGGAAATCCCGCGAAACACAAATAACCTCGGCCAGCACCAAAACCCCAGTTGGGGAAAGCTTTGCACAAGGGGGGGGAAAGGGGTAGAACGGGTAAGGAGGATAGGGTATCGGGATAGAGGACGGAAGGGAGGAACGATAATGAGGAGAAGTCTTTGACCATGTGACAGATATGGTCGTTGGAGACTCCGTATCCGTAACAAGCTGGGTGAACTCGGTAATTTTCATGAGCAGGTCGGTTAGCTTGACCTGCCAGACAGTCCCTAGTCGATATCTCAAAGGCTCTCCTTTGAGACCGGCTCCAACAGACTCTTTCTCAAGATCAGTGGGAGCGAGATGACGCCAATTTCGTATACGTTTCATGTAGTTATTCAAATCCTCAAAAATTCCACCTTCAAACTCTCCAAGAGCTTCAATGACTTGCCTGAGAGCTTGTTGTCTTAGGAATGCGCTGGGCGAGGAATGCACATCTTTGCCTACTGGCGAGGTATCTCTTGAGTTGGATCTACAATCCAACTGACTGATCCTTGTGGGGCGGGAAGGAGGATACAATTTGTGTGTCACTTGGACCGGGGTGACTGGTTTGTCTCCCAACAGGGACACCATCTTTGGTGGCATGGTGCGAGTTTCTCGCACCGGGGTTGGGGCACCAATGTTACAGGGATGGGGGGAAATCCCCATTCCTCAATCCGTTCTTAGAGCAGGATGACGAACGTCGTATCTAGTCTGTACCATAATGGGATATGTAATCGATGAGTGATCCCAGTCTTGCATGGGAGTGGACAATCGGATTCCCATCGATCGTGATTGGTGATGTAGTGAGCTGTTAAGGAATTGATGGTAGGTAGTCGGAGACGTCAGGATGGACGGGTCAGCCACGGGTACTTGGTGCTCCTCAATGGAGCGTACCATGTGCGAGGTTGCAACTCATGAGGTGGGTGAGAACTTCGTATAACTGCCATCGGGTACTTGGCGTTCGCAGCGCGAACATACCGGTAGCGGGTTGATATCATGAGCATGCAATGAGGATTGACTATTGGGGCCTTTGGTGACTTGGCGTTCCCAAAGGGAACATACTGTTGGCAGGGGAATGTGATGACTGACAAAGGAGGGAACAGACGGTGGATGGGCGGCTACTTGGCATTCGCATAGTGAATGTGCTGGCATCATGGGAAAGTGGACCTCAGAGTGTTACAGGAATGGGTTCCGGGGAACCCAACCTGAGCCGTTCGGCTCACTAATGGAGGTGGCTGCGTAGCCATCGGAGGGAGAGCGGAATAGGATGAATGTATGGAAGTACAACCTGTGGGTTGGCCAACGGTAACTTGGTGCTCCTGGGAGTGTACCGGTAGCGAGTATGATGTGGGCTCCTTGAGGGAGCCACCTGGCTGTCTGCTAACAGGGACTTGGCACTCCTGGGAGCGTGCCGGTAGCGGGTGTGCTGGGAGTGTTTGGCTAGTGGTGACTTGGCACTCAATGGAGCGTACCAGTAGTGAGGGATACTGGGACTCCCAAAGGGAGTCACCCAGTTGGTGGCTATCGGTGACTTGGCACTCATGGGAGGGAGTTGTTGGGGAAAGCGGGCTGGTGGACCAGTGCACAGTAGTGGGTGACTGTGGGAAGTGGGACCTGCAGGTGTGGCCAGGCATCCTGGAGCTGCCTGGACCATATCCTTCTCCTGAGGAGGTGGGATAGGCTACAGTTCCTGATAGGGAACTTCTGGTTGGATGGGAGTAACCACTCGACCACCCAGTGGACTGGTGGGAGCGGGCAGCAGGAGGTTGGGCATGGGAATGCCCTCCTCGTTGCGGTTTTGTCATGGAGAGGATGAATAGGGAGGTGGACATGGTTCCAGGGTTACAGGTTGAGTTTACAGTGGTGGCACAATGGTGAGGATGTTACAATGGCGGTACAAGGTTTGTGGGTTATGTATTCGATAATGAAAGACATTTTTCGGCATCTGCCTTACACATCATATGACTTCTAACTATCTAATATAAAAGTCACAATGGTCAAGGGAAGTCCCTTGAAACTCAACAAATTCCCCAGCCAGCACCAAAACCCAGTGGGAAAGCTTGGCATGGGGTTTGACATGAAATAAAGGTGAAGGGACCAAAGGCTTGATTGTTCATAGTCATGGACCATAAGATTCTAGGTCCATTCCTATAACACAGAGTATTCACGATCTCCAAGATCGTGATGTGACGTCATCTGTCGAGCACTAGGGGGAGAGCAGAGTGATGAAGTCCCATAGGGTACAGATTCCATAGGATGATACACATGTTGAGAGTCTTCGACTCATGACCTCGAGTTCTCACAGCGAGGACCGTTAGAGGACTCGACATAACCAGACTGTCAGGGACACATCCGGGGTGGAGGGGGCCCGAATGTAGCGCCCACCAGAGGGACCCTCTCGGGGGACGAAGCGGGCACGCATACTGACAGGCCCAATCTGGGACTGTAGTCCCTGGTCACTTAGACTGAAGTGGAAAACGTGAGAAGAAGGTTACTTCTTCAGTTCCCACTTCAGGTACATTTATGTACATGCAGCTTGGGTCACATGACAAGTGCCACGTCATCTGCGGGGGAGCTGCAGCCACCTGGGTATCCCTGCGGGGGATCCTGAGGGCATCCGCTGCAGGCACGCATGCTATGCGTAGTGGGAAGTCGTCGGGGTGTCCGAGCCAGATGGGTCAATGGTACAATGATACAAGGAAAGGTGGTCCATGTAAATAGAAAGAATAAACAGAAAGGGAGAATGAAATAAAGTAGGAAGAGGAAAGAGGGAAAAGGGAGGAAAGGGAAGAAGGGGGAGAGGGAGGATGGAGGATGGAGGGAGGATGGGTAGTGGGGAGCGGGTGAGGTGGGCCCGGGTGGGCCCGGGTGGAACCGGGTCAGGCAGGTGTGCCCTGACACAGACTTATAAGACATGTTGTGAGTTGTACAGTCACCCAGGTTCAGTTGAGTCACAGGAAGGGTTGTTACAGAAGATGACACACAAGACAGTTGTAGAGAGTAGTTGTTAGTTAGCAGGAACCGCCTTCGGCAGTTTCCATACAAGACGTGTGACTATCTACAAATGGTAAGGTCGTGGGAAATCCCGCGAAACACAAGTAACCTCAGCCAGCACCAAAACCCCAATGGGGAAAGCTTTGCACGAGGGGGGGGGAAAGGGGTAGAACAAGTAAGAAGGGTAGGGTATCGGGATAGAGGACGAAAGGGAGAAAGAGGGGGAGCGATAGAGAGGAGAAGTCTTTGACTATGTGATGGATATGGTCGTTGGAGACTCCATATCCATAACAATTGTGCTTCATGAAGTGAAGCAGGGTTACAAAATTGGGGTCACCCCCACATTTACTCAGCTTCTGACGAAGCTGATGTGTCAGAGACCTGGTCGAGACGAAGGAGTGTCTCCATGGCGGAGGGCTTTGGCCTCAGCGACTTGTGCCAGGAGCACTGTGCCAAGTAACACGTCCGTGCCCTAACTTACTGAACTGGCAACCAGAACTGAAGGGGGTAAACTCTAGTTGATTTTATTACTGAAGTGTAACCTATGTACAAGTTGAGTATATATAGTTACAGCGAGGGCGGGTCCGCAAATGGTGGAGCCAAGCAGAGCAGAGCTAACAGGGTTAGACATTAGCCAATTGAATATTACCGATGAGTCAGGTTATGGGGTTAATGGAAAGGCAGGCGATAACCCAGAAACGGAAAGGAGGGATAGGCCCGAAGGTGGGCTTGCAGGGCAAGCAAGTGTATTGTCCAGCAGAGGTGGGAGTGCGCTAGCAGACGTCGGAGCTGTCCGGAAGCCTTCAGGGCTCTGTACTTAGGGAGGTGTAGGTAATAAATTGAAAGGAGGGGGTGGTGACCATCGAGGGGTACCGAGGGGATTGCGGAATACGGGAGCTCCGAGGTTAGTGAAGAAGGTGTGGAAGTGGACCAGAGGGATCGGAGGGATCGGAAGTCGATGGCCAGGGATGGATATGACATGATGCTTACTTACGTGAAGAGATCAGCAGCAGTTCCTGCCACCAAGCTCTTCAAAACCCTCACGTACGATTCCCAAAAGGGGATCAAAAGCTTTTACACAGAACTTCTCCACATTGCAGAGAAGATGATAACTCGCCCAGATCAGGCGAGTTTCAATGAGCGTTTTCTGAACGCTCTCCCCCTTCAGATGAAGGAGGAACTAGTAATGCATGACTGAATATCGGTCGATTTTTTGTCCAAAGAAGAACTTTGGACTGCTGTACTACATGTCGATCACGTGTACGATTCAATGCGTGCTATCAACGCATATAGAGGAGGGTTAACACCCTCCAATACTACATCCTCAAACCACTCAACTGCAAAGCCGAGTGGGTCTAATAACCCACTCCCTTCATTGAAGGGAGTTGCTTCCAAGGTGACTACCACACAGAGTCACCAAATCCCCACTTCTTACTCTAGCAGTAAGATGCCTTTGACAACAGTGGAACTCATCACAGGTTCATCTGCGTCAAAGGGGCCTTCACAAGCCCCTTACTCCAATGGCAACCGGTATTCTTCAAATACCGGTAATGTGGTTACTCAACAATGCCCTTCGAAGGATTCGAAGGGAAACCCCTTTGCTACAAATGTGGCAAAATTGGGTACGCTTCGGAGTGCCTGAACCATCTGTATCAGGCAAAGATATTTGCCCTGGGCATCAATAATGGAGCACCCGAGCCCATTCCCGTGTTTGACAACCAGGATGAAGTTGGAGAACCATCTGGGGAAACCCCAGATGGCCCAATTGGTGAGAATGGCGAAGCTGAAGACCGCTTCATCAATGATCCATATGACCCCACATACCAACATAATGTGTTGGAAAGCAAGCCCGAAGACGAAGTTGTCTTCAGGAACATGGGTCTGTGAGTATCATCCCTGGACACGTTCCATGTGTCAGATCTCTTTGGGCCTGACATAGTCAGGCCTCCTAGCATTCCCAAGGCTGCAAAGGCCTTGGAACAGCCTCACAAATCGCAAAAATTTGCGGTTTGTTACTTCTTCTGCGGTTCTCAGTAACTGCCAAAACCTGCACAATCGAAGATTGTGCAGACTGTAATGGGCGTCATGGCCCATTTCAATGTGTCCTAAATGAGGATGCGAATCCAGATGGATGCGAGCACAGCTACAAGCATAGCTGCAGCTAATTGGGCTGCAATGACAAACTCAACTGCCAGATAATAGGCTGGCAAATAAACAGGGCACTCGGTGCTCACACCAGAACTGAGAAGGGACATCCAATGTCTCAGTTGACTCCAGCAAAATTGCACCCTGGCAGGGATGCGACTGATAACGCGCCACACTATGGCACGAACCACTTAGATGAGATTTCAAGTATGAGTGTCCCTGAAAAGGACACTGTTGATGATCGCAAGCTGAAAAGCCGTGATCTGAAATCTCCCTGACAAAGGTACAGGGAGGAGCGGGTTAGTACTCGCTGATGCTACAACTCCTGAGGGAAACCTCAGGCTAACAATTGAGGAAATAACTTTCCTTGCGACTATACCAAGCATTCCGCTTGATGAGGGATTTTTTTTACGAAATCCTAATAATTCCTGAAGACTAAGGTCACCAACAGCCTTATGTCAAAGTGAATGACTTGGGTGAACCTTGACTGGTTCCCCTGGACGTCATTCAAGAGGGGAGAGGGCGACTAGGATCGCCATCTATATACTAGTTCTAGACTCGTATCACGGCTCCTCAGCCTTTGCTGATGAGGGCTGACCTAAGGAAGCGTGTCACGCTTCACCGCTTCTGTGGGCTTGCATCAAACATGCGGCCCCACACCATTTCCTCTCCTACTGAGGAGTAAACAATGGCCTGTATAGCCGTCTCCCTACTGGTTCCTAGTAGGGACTCAGGTATCTCAGCTCATGCTGAGTATTGGGCCTTAGAAGCATGCTTGCACTTCAGGTCCCATCAAATTACCCATTTCTATGGGTAAATCTCACTATTCTCCCCCTATATAGTTGTTTAGGGAGGAGCAGGTTGCACTGGGCTGGGGTTTACTGACCCCAGAATATTTATGAAGGCCTAACCACCTTCATGTCATTGTTTTTAATAATTTCTTTAATTAATCCCCATAAGCCGGGGATTGTGAAGGCCTAATGGCCTTCACTTTACTTCCTTTCTTGTTCCGTGGACCATTAAACCTATGGTTCTGAAAAGGCTTAACAGCCTTGACTATATTCCACTTCTCTGATCCATCAAATCAATGGATCAGTGGAGGCTTAACAGCCTCTACATTAAATATTCTACTTCTTGATCTGTTGAAAACCACAGATCCCTGGAGGCTTAACAGCCTCTACATTAGTCAACTTCTGGATCTGTCAAAACAACAGATCAGTGGAGGCCTAGCAGCCTCTGCACTACCTTTCTTCTCTGATCCATCAAATCAATGGATCGGTGGAGGCCTAACAGCCTCCACATTTACATTTATTCCCTGAACTGTCAAATTAACAGTTCTGTGAAGGCCTAACAGCCTTTACACTTATTCTTTACACTTAATATATGCTGATTAACCATCAGTATGATAAAGGTCTGACCACCTTTATCTTTATAAATTATATATTCTATGCATGGCAGTGCAACCAAGGCTTAACAGCCTTCACTACCTTTTGTAAAAGCTTAACTGCTTCTACACCTTGTTACCCCTTGTGCATGATATTAATATTGCAAGGGAGGAGAGTGTAAGGAGTGGTGGCAACACTTGCCCCATCCTTCATCCTATATCTTTATTGTATATTTGTTGCATAATAAATATGTATAAACATTGTATATATGGAGGCATGGGAATGTTGCAAGGGTGAATTAGCCTTTACTTCCCTGTTGAAAATACAGCCGATTATAGGGTATTTGACGGTCTGGAAGTGTGAGGCAAACATAATATCGTGCATATAGCACGATTAAGTAAATAGCTTACAGGGACTTGGGGTAACTTTTAGTCGAGATTAGAACTGAGGTACAAAGAATTCTAATCTACAGGTATATATAGAGGGAGGAAGAGAAGGACTTTAGTCAAAGTCTGAGTGATACTGACAAACACTGAAAGGTGCCAAATGATACCGAAAGGTCCCAAACAATATCCTTAACAGGGAACCAGGGTGTCAGGTCAAGGAGGGCAGAGTAGAAGGCTGGAGGATGAATGGGAATGAGAAATGGGTAAGGGGAAGTTAGCCAACTGAATGGAAAGAAGACAACAGTCATACTATAAATGGAAGGTGACTAATTTGTGATGATGTGAGCGGGATCACTGGAGGATGCGGGTAGCTCCAAAGCCAGAGTTACATATCCAAAGGATGTTGGGTGACTCCACTAAATGAAATGGGAGGAGGCATGGTTTAGAGGTATGTCACATGATGCCGGAGATCCGTTGGGAGGTTGGAGCAATCCAGAGTCTCTGAATGTTCCAACTTGGGGCTGAGCTTCCGGGATGGGAGTGGCCAAGGTCAAGTGTGCTGAGATCCAGGCCACAGCTGAGACAGTTGGGGAGGAAGGTGATGTTGGAAAGTGGGGGTGTATGGTGTAGGGGATGGTGAGGTTGTTAGGAAGGTGTAGTGAGGTGGGAGAGTGCAGGGTAAGGATTCCAGGATATGACAGAAACATGGAACAAGAGGTTGCAGCACTCTGCACCGCTAGGTTGTTCAACGACAACTAGGGGAGGGGACATTAAGACATAGCGGGGAGTAGTTGGACAGCAACGGATGGCAAGCAGAGTATGCAGGGAGTGTTTGGGTGTGGGAAAAGGCCAGGGAGGAGGTCGTCGGACCCTGGGGAATGTCAGGTTGTGACAACATGGTTGGAGAGCTCCCTGAGTCAAAAGGTTACAACACTGTTCTGGTCATAGTGGATCACCTATCTAAATGCATCCATGCAATCCCAACAGTGACAATGGTGGACTCAGTGGGAATCATGCAGCTTTTCCTTGAGCATGTCTGGAAGCACCACAGCCTCCCTGAAGAAATCCTCAGTGACAGAGGGTGTGCCTTTGTCTCACATTTCTTAAAGGAACTCATGGACCTCCTCAGCGTCAAGCTCACCCCTTCAATGCCCTACCACCCCCAGAGAGATGGGCAGATGGAGCAGGTAAAGCAAGAGGCAGAGACTTACCTCCAGGTATTTGTCAACCACTGCCCAGATGACTGGGTGGACTGGCTCCCACTAGCAGAATTCACCTATAACAACCATGTCCACTCCTCCACCTGCTGGACCCCCTTTGAGGCCAACACCCCAGGATGGGGACAGAGCCCACATGCATGTCCAAGGTAGAAGCTGCTGATGCCTTCTTGGGCACACCCACCTGACCTGGCTCCACCCAGCTCCACCCAGTCCTAGCTCACCCAGTGCCCTTATCCCCTCCTCTTCCTATTTCTCCTTCTTCCCATTCTCCCTTTGTTTCATTCTCTTTTCCTTCTATTTTCCCTTCTTTCTATTTCTATTTCTATTTTACATGGACAACTTGCCTTTGATCAATTACTATTGACCTGTCTGCAACACATGCATGACATGCCCAGCCCCAGGCACCCCAGATAGCCTCAGGGCGCAACCCAGTATGCACACATGCAGCATACACCCTCAGGATCTCCCACAGGGACACCTGGGTGACTGTGGCTGTATGCAGCATGACATGGCAGACCTCATGTGACCCAAGCTGCATGTATATAAACACACCTGGGGTGGGAACCAAAGAACCTTCTTCTCATCATTCCCACTTCAGTCTAAGTGGCCAGGGACAGCTGTCCCATATTGGGCCTGCCAGTATGCATGCCTGATCTACCCCCTGTGAGGTCCTCAGCACCAGATGCTATGCCTGGACCGCCTTGACCCCAGATGCATCCCTGACAGTGATGTCAGTATGTTTATGATCGAGGTTGACAGCCAGAGTGTCAGGGCAATAGCCCCAAACCCCGAGTCACATGTAAATTAGATACATATAGTCACGTGGGCAAGTGGGAACCTCCGGGTAACTGCTTACACACCACCGTAAAATACACTATCTTGTATCACTTACAGCCTTGTGTGCTGAGCCACCCTAAGACCTCACACAGAGGGTTGGGGGACGAGGGAGAAGGTGGCTGCAGAAGGTTTGACTTGTTCATCCCTGTTGTCATCTTGCATTTCTGGGCTCGGAGACATTGGTGAAGAACTCCTTTCTGCAAATGCAATTGGATGCATCATTGTATGTTGATTGAAGGTGGGTGTGACTGTTGCCTGTTGCCAGCAGGGGGATCGGGGTCAGGGCTGCCCCGATTGGGGGTTTGTGTTCATTTCCTGGTGTCTGTCCGGAGCTACAGTTCATAGCTGTTGTTTATCGTGAGGTTGAAGGGCAATTAACAAGTCTGAGAGGGTGTAGAGCATGGTTTTTCAAAATGCATTCAATTGTGATGGTGACAGCTGTCAAAGATGGAGATGGGAGTTGAAAGGGCATGTGAATCGGAAGGAGCCCTTGACAGCAGGTTGCGCAACTACTTACAAACCAAATGCAGGAATTTTGGAATACAAGTGATGGACCCTGGGTTAGCCAGGTAATTTGCAATAATAGAGGACCTCTTTCATGGGCATTCAGTTCACGCTTTCAAGACCTGCTACAGAGTAGCAGGAATTTGGAAAAGACCAACTGGGTAGGAGTCTGGTGTAAACCCATAAGCTGCATGGGTCATGTTGCAACATTGAGCAACCATTGTATTGCCACATATCCATTTTAGTCATTGCATCACATTGCAATATATTGACATGGATTTGAACTTTTTCTGACATATTAGATGCATGGAGCGTGCCACAGTTGGTACCTCCTCTTCACATATATAGTCATGATTGCAAGGCAGCGATGTACAAGCGATGTGCTGATTTTCCATGGGACTTCTTTCATATGGCCATTATTTTTACTTCCGCTGATGATGGTTGCACAGAATGTGTTCACTGTAAGCTCATAGGAACTGGTGCTACGATGCACACACTTCCTGACTACTGTAAGCAGCACTAAATATGACCTGTTTGACCACTCTTATCCCCATGGTAATCCATTCAATAATGGGGTATGTGTCATATCCATCCACAGCCACTACCTCCAGTCCTTCCAGATCACCTCCACTCCTTCGTCACTAACCTTGGAGCCTCCATATTCCATAATCCCCTCTGACACCCCCAATGGTCACCACCCCCTCAATTCAATATATTACCTATGCCTCCCTGAGTATGGAGTCCCAAAGGCCTCTGGACAGCTCCAACGTCCGCTAGCGCACCCCCACCTCTGCTGGGCAATTCACTTGCTTGCCCTGCAAATCTACCTTCAGGCCGATCCCTCCTTTCCATTTCTGGGTTATAGCCTGCCACCCCACCAACCCCATAACCCAACTCGTCAGTAATATTCAGTTGGCTAACCTATAAACCTGTTAGCTCTGCTCCGCTTGGTCCTGCCATTCATGGGCCTGCCCTCTAGGTAACTATATGTATATACATAACTTGTAGATAGGTTACACCCCAGTGATAAAATCAACTAGAGTTCTCCCTCTTCTAGAATCCCTTGCCAGTCAGTAAGTTAGGGCATGGACATGTAACTAGGCACAGCACTCCTGGGATAAGTCACTGAGGCCAAAGCCCTCCACTTTGGGGATGTTGTCCTTTGTCCCAGATCTGGTCTCTGACAGTATGGATGTCTCCCAAAATGGGTGCTTAGTTAAGGTCATGAATGCATGCATTGCTCAATGCCCTCTACCTGTACTATATCTTACCAAATTTAATTCAGTCTTACCCCTATTAGAATTGATTCTGAGTTTATGGAACAGGCTTCCAATTGCCGATTGTGAAGGCCCCAATTCCCATCCATGAAACACCTGCCAATTGAGGCTGTTAGATCCAGCATAACTGTCTATTAGACTGTATACACACCCTTGCTCAGTGCACCATAGCTATTGCATATTATTTGAGCCCCACTGATAGATAACATTAATGTATTGCATTAGCCACCAAGCACTCATCTCAAGTTCAGTACAACCACAACCTCATCAGGAAACCCCCGAGGCTGATTGAGGTGATTGAGAGCAATTCAAGTGCTCAATCTGCCCAATCTGCCCAATTGACTACTCTCAATCGTTGTTAGACACTGGTCCGGGGTCGGCACTGAAAGTCGCCGATGCGGGCCACTATAGGCTGCAATGGCTGTGATGCTGCAAACAAGGCCCAAGGGTAGGGCATTTGGCCTCAGCGACTCTAAAGGAGCGCTGTGCCCCCTAGTTGTCTCTCGGCCCTCATTTCGGACTCACTGGGGTTGCCTTGTTGGGGTCAGGACTTAGGGGTCGTGGTCACATTGATATTAGAGCTAAGGTACAATAAAGTATCATACAGGATATATATAGGAGGAAGAAATGAATGGAAGCGGACCCGGGCCAGAGGCCGAAGGGTCCGGAAGCAAACAAGAATAAGGAGCGGGGTTGGCCGCATAGCGGCCAGCAATGACTGAGGGTCAAAACAAACAATAACAGATAAATAAAGGAAAGAGCGTAGGGCCGCGATAGCAGCGATGGTATCGTAGCAGCGCTGGACTCAGAGTTGGGCCGGAGTCGGGCGCGGGGATGATAGCGGCCCTGTAGGGGCCAAGTGGGCAGGGTAGGGGAGTCGCGCTGGGCACGGTGCCAGAGGCGGACTCAGGATGGGAAGGTTGGTGTGGCTGTGGGGGAGTTGGCCAGGTGCAGGGGAGCCTAGGGGCAAGCGGGGGAGTGTGCAGGGAGTCCTCATGGAGAATAGGGCTGAGGTTGGGGCTCACACTCACGCTCGCATAGCGGTAACGGGCTCGGGCAGCATCGGGACGGGCCGGGAACGGGCCGGAATGCACGGCCGTGACAATCGTCTCAATCATCACAATTGCGAGTCCATTTGTTTGCTCCAGGTGCTGTACAGTTTTCAAATGAATTGGTTTGCAACTTGTAACTTTTTTTTTTCACTCCACCTCATGCTATCTACACCCATGTCTCTTTACTATGCAACAGGATATTTTTTACTCCACTCCGATGTTCCTTACTTGTGCTCATGGGCCAACACCCTTCCACAGTCACCCAACCCTTCCCCAACATGCTCCCTTCCCATATTCTTTTTTTTTCAAGTCATTCCATCCAACCCCAACTTAACTTCTCACACACGACACTATCCCCAACTTCTTACTGCATGTACTTGACAACCACGCATCCATTTCCGACGATTATAAGCTCATCCGATAGATGAGATCCAGCTCTATCTTTCTACAGAGATTGGTACCAAACGGTCCAGCGATTGAGGTGCGCGTCTGCTTCCTTTAAATATATTGTATCTCACTAACCTCAATTTCTTACAGCTCGTACTCAACAACCACACCTCCGTTTCAGATGAACTTACGCTCGTTTGATATAGAGGTTTGGCTCCATCCTCCCACCGAGTTTGGTGCCAAATGATCCAGTGGTTGAGGTGGGCGTCTGCTTTCTTTAATTATATTGTATTTCACTAACCCCAACTTCTTACTGTGCATACTCAACAACCACATGTCTGTTTCCGATGGACCTAGGCTTGTTTGATAGAGGAGATCCAGCCCCATCTTCCCATTGAGTTTGGTGCCAAACGGTCCAGCAGTTGAGGCGTGTGTTTGCTTTAATTACATTGTATTTTCACCCATTTCGCTTTCCTCCTATTGTTTTGCACCATTGTGTTTTGGTATTAGTTACTTGCATGCCTGTATGTACATAACATAATTTTCAAATATAATAATTTTATTGATGAACTTCAACATGCAGAAGAGAAATGTGACAATGAGTACAATGAGTACAATCAGCTCAATCACCCATGTGATTGGTGTAATTGTAATCAGGGGACCTGGTTGTGGTGATTGTAAATTGTGTGACATTGAAATGATCTCAATCACCTCAATCAGCCTCGGGGGTTTCCTGATGCTGTCATATCCATACCAACTCCACCCAGCCTCCAACCTACTCCACCACCATTCCGGTCCACCTCCAGTCCATCCCCTCCCTCACCTCCACCATACCCTCCAGTATACCTCCGGTCCACCTCCACCTCTGATCTCCGGTACCATCTCCAGTACCCCTTATCCTAATCATAGAAGGCTATTAATATTCCTACCTACCCAACATTACTACAGACCTCCTAGGACCTCTGCCAATCCTGCAAAGGTTTTCCCACTATCCAATAGCTGTCGCTAATCCCACCCTTCAACTACTCACTCCACAGTGCTCGATAAGGCAATTCTCTCACAAGATTGCCAACCCAGCAAGTGGGTAAGTCCATCTTGGGTTTTCCCTTTGTTCCTATTTGTCTTGTATTATGTATATAAGTCCTGTACTGTAGTTGATGGCACCTCAGTGCAAAATCAACAATAACAACTTTTCCCCCAGAGTTCACACCCCCTCGTTCTGAAGTTAAGGACCAAACACTAAGCGTTAACGAACGTAGGCACAGCACTCCCCTCTGAGTCACTGGGGCCATGGTCCTTCCGCTCATCCTCTACCTCCGGCCTCCCTTCCAGGGAAAGGTCCAGGCATGCTTGCTCCCTCCTTGCTGTGTCTTGACACAACCCCATTTCACCTCAATATCAGCTATAACATTGTTGGTACACCATCATTGGTCATATAAACTAATCTGAACCCCTGTCACGACCCGGCAATTCCCACGGTCAGGTGATCACTCCCCACACCTTCTCCCTCCCCCGCTTCGACCCCGTCAACTCCGCTGCCCACCCGATGCCGCCTGGACAAGCCCGTCACCCTTTCCCGTCACTGCTACCTGTTTCCATGGCCCGTCACGGGCCTATGAGTCTTTCCTTATCATGCTTGTTTATCTTGACAGCCGTGCATGGCCATCCTTCTCCCACACTCTTTGTTTGTTTTCGTTCCTTCTTAACCCTGCCCGCAATCTCCGTGAGATCTGGCGACTTATTTCTATTCATTCCGTTATACTTAAATACCGGTTGTATGCTACCTCGTACTTTAGTTCGAAAATCAACTAGGGTTACCCCCTGCACTCTCTGTCTGACCCAGTCGCACCTCCTGCCTCCTGAAATATCGGGGCCGCATCAAGTACGAGGCGCAACGCTCATGAACGAGTCATTGAAGCCGAAACCCCTTTCCACCACGATTGTCATCCCTGCCCTTGACGGGCTGTTATGCCGAAGTAGCGGACCTTAATGGTCGCCGACGGCGAGTCACGGTAACGTTTTCCCATGCCCTGACAACCCCCAATGAAAGGATGGTAGTGTCTAGGGAATATTCATGACATGGATGTGTCAGAATTATCAATGCGTGTGCTGCAGCCATGTGACATAACATGTTAAATGATGTTTGAAGAAAAAAAAAGTCACATCTAACATCATTTTAGCATGCCATTCCCCATTCAATTCATGTTCTGTAGCATAATTAAGTATCTTGGAGCTAACACAAAAATCAAATGAACAATCTTAATTCTGACGGTTCCCTGCCATGTTCATGCTCATCACTGTCCGGAGTGATCCAGGGGCCAATTTTCCTTGTTCAACTCACTTGCAGTATCTAGCAACACCCTCAGGACATTCAGGTGTTGCTCTGCCATGCTGAGAGGTCAGGATCGGAGCTAGGGATTGAATTGAATATCAATCAGCATCTTATGGTAATTGGTGCATGTATGTACAATGAATTAACTTGCTGTACCGTTAAAATGCTCAAACGGTGAGAAACGGCACTGCCGCGTAGTATCTAATACCTGAGGCTTTGAATGGCGGGGTGGGGGTGTTACTCCGTTTGACTTCCCGTTTAGGCACATTTACCAATACATCACATGGCCACATGAGTTCCCATCAAACGGGACAATCCCGGCTGGTGCATAGATTGCTCTGAAAATTGTTCATCATGCTGTTTATTATCTATGTAACGTTATAACACGTTGTTGCAGTAATATGCGGTTAGCTGGTCATTCACTCCTAAAGGAAAATCTTACTGGTCGTTTGGTAGGGAAGATTATTTTTCACTCTCCAAATATAACAGGGTCTAGCTCTTTTGTAACCGGTTGGGTTTGACCTCCTTTTCTCCTCCGCACTTACGCTCGAGACTAAGGTTAGCACTCCTAACTCACATTACTTAGCCACTCACGCCGTACTCATACTGCCCGCAGTGTTGAAAGTCAAATGCGATTGTGGAGTGCCTTCACCCCAATTACTCTACTTCCCGTTGTCACGGCTGGTTTTCTTGTTGGCCAAATGACTCCCGACCTGACACCACCTGTTGGCCAAATGACTCCCAACCAGACACAACCGTTCGGGGCCATCGTCCCTTCACTTGGTAGTTCATATGAAAGTAGGTAAACCAAAACTTTCTCCTGGTCTTAACCTATGTTTTCCCAACAGACACTTGCATTTGGGCAATGCATTACCACGACGACAACGGCCAGGATGTGAGCTATGGGAGATTCATGGAGGTCTTTGGGCTCTGCGAGGTTGATATTGGAGTAAATACTGACGCCAACTTTTGGATTGCCTCCAATGGCGACTTTGGACATTGTGAGCCTGTTGCGGCACAGGGAGAAAAATGTTTGAGGGGGGATGGCAGGTTCTGGACATGGACGGTTAAGAGAAATTGCAATACTACAGCCATCTGCCCGGGCCAGTAGCGATCCATGTGGATACTTAACGACTTAGCGAAGTCCTGCCCAGTAGAAATTATAGTGCGCACAAATGCGTCTGCATCAATGCCATGTCAGCAGAAAAGGATAAAGGCAATAGAGCAGGCTACTCAGCTAAGTTTAAAACCCTATCTGGGGGTGTTTTTTGCGCATCAGATAGGGCCTAAATAGCCTATTTGGTGAAGCGGCTTGCTGCCAAAACGGACCCGTGGGAAAGTTTAGGACACCCTTGAAGCCACCGCGATGCAGCCAGGCCTGACGCGGATCCGCATACTTTACCCAAAGCAAGGCCCCATCGTTCTGTCCAGCAGTTCGGAGCTCCGCTGGTTCTACCTAGAGAAGCGACACGTACCGTGATTGCACGGGATGTCAAGTCTGTGCGGTCTGGTAGTCCAATGTCTTACCTCAGTAGTCGAATTTGCATTCTTCAGGTTGGACCAAGGCAAGCAGAAGAGCTCTATTCAATATTGGTGCCCGCCGGCGCATGATATCGCCTACCATCAAACGATCATGATACACTTGTTCAATTTCGCGAGATTCTCCACCCATGGCTGTGGTCCATCCACCGAAGTGTCGTAGGAGTCGATGGCTGCAACCCCCCCGTCGGCTACAGTGTCCACGGCGTGCCTGCCGAATCCTTCCCATCGCCCGGAATCCCTGCAACAGAGACTTTGTGAGTGTTCCTTCGTGACTCCGCATACATCTCATGGCTGTCGAGATTTTGCGCTGGTGACTAGAATCGCCATGTCCTCCGGCAGCAAGCAAGGCACCGACCTTTTGCTTCATCGACATTGATTGATCATAAACAAAACAGCCTTCAATTTAGACGCGCAACATCGGAGGCCCTGTATAGCGGACACGCGGCTGCAACACAACAATTAGGTTGAACGCATAAAAAAGGTTAGAGTTAAGATTGAGCTAGGCACTCTTTAGAACCTTTTCTTCAACGACGACCGCGCGCGCGACCTGTCGCTTTGCTCCACAAGTTGCGGGTGGTATCATCCAGTTGTGCGCGCTTCCCTCTCCTTCCACATTCCGAGCTTCATGACCTCGACCTGTGTTAGGAGGCAGATTTTACCGTGAATCGGCGTTCAACTTGTTTGCAGCCGGTGCACCAGCACTGTGCAAAACTCTACAAAGCAGGAACGACGTGTATCAGATCCGTGTGAGCTTCCTACATCATCCCTACCTTTGCACCGTCACCGTTTGGCCCTTCTGACCGTCTCCCTCTCAGATATGGACACCAGATTTTACTCTCACAACGCAGTCTCCTAGGACAGTTTCACTTCAAATCCTGCTTCTACCTCGTTACACCGATGCCAGTCATAGCGATTAGGCAAACTGGGACCTGTCGGTCAAAAGTCTTTCTTGCGAGCAAGCAATGAATGTTATCTGAAATGATGATCTAGCGTCCTCTGCAGACGGCGTGCAGAACCAAGGTTCCAGTTTTGAAGCGCATGGGAGAAGCGGACAAAAAAGGTTATATTCCGGCAGATGTGCGCTCAAGGCACCGCCATTTCGCAACACAGTTGCACAGTAACCGGAGTATTACAATTGAAGCTAAAGGAGGCATAATCGAAGATTTGAGTAAGTAGGGACCGATAAGCAACGAAGAACATCAGTCATTGGGATGCACATGTGATTACCGGTACAGCACTTACGCACAGAAGGGTGGACACACCTTGAATGTGGTGAGGGTGGATGATATGCAGATATCGGTCAGACGGTTGACGGGTTAGACGAGTGGCGAATCGTGAGTTAAAATTCCAGCTCAGGACGGCCCCAACGCCCATCACCGCTATTGTGCCGCCCGACAAGGAAATACACGAGACATGAAACAAATACGCGACCATGTGGTCTCTATGGAGAAATAACATTCAGCAAATATTAGTGCAAAACGGGACAACTACTCACAATAGGAAAGAACCAGAACCTGAGCGGGCATATGTCCGCACATACCGAGTCAAGAAACGAAACAGCATAGACCTAACCAGAAACAAGCGTCAATAAGTATCGGGGAACAAAGCCCAGCTGTGGAGGCACAAGTACTCGCTGTTGGAACAAGTAGAGCGGAAATGGGGATAATCGCTCATGCTGGGTTCAGAAATGAGGGGATGTACTTGGGCCTTGCCTTTTCGGCAAACGACAACGCGTCTGTGACTAAAGGAAATGTTAGCCGCTGCTTTAGGGGCAGATATCATGCTACAGTGGGTCGTCATTGTGAAGGGTTTTGCGTTATGTGTCAAACCACTAGACGCACATGTTCACAATCCAGGGTATCATAGCAGCCGACCTCTAGCGAACTTTGGCAAAGTATACGGTGCATGGATCCACGGTGAGCAGCCCCGCCAGTGATCACTGGCCGCCTAAGACATCTCAGCGGACAATCGCGGTGTGCAGTGTAACTCGATATCACAGTATGGAGTACAGATGAGCAGTCGGCGCTGAACGCAAGAAAGAGAAAGTGCAAGTGTGGAGGGAAGAATCGCCCCCAAAGCCCACCTTTTATGCCTTTCCATGGGCCTAGGTTCCCCACAACCCAGAATAACTATGTTGTTCTACATCAAAGAATCCTGAGACCGTGGATGAATCGGTACGGCCGCGTGGGGTCACTCTTTGGTTCAAGGGAAATTCAAAACTAAAGATTTTGGCCATCTGGCCACCGATTTGCATCGTTCAACCGCGAAAATGGTATGTTCAAGCATGTCGACAATGTCCGCTCCATAGTGTGCGGGGGGACGACAACAGAAGCATGTGCCTCTGGAGGGGACAGAAGTAAAGTTGGTCCTGTGTTCTCTTTCTGTGAGCCCTGACTTAGATTTTAGTGTGGGTTCATCCTTTCTAGCGTGCCCGGCCCGGTTTGACAATAGCAGGAATGGCCAAATAGGTTCATACACATCCGGGCGTTTGATAGTTGGAGCAAACGTTGCCATTTCACTCAAGATAAATTCCAGTCTGGAGAGCACCTGAGAAGGGCCAGAGCATTGATACAGGCGAGCAGACAGAGGTTTCACACAGCCACGATGCAATATCATCGCTTCACGCTGCCAGCCCAATCGCGGGCGTCAATATCAGGCGGACATGTCAGATCTGTCTAACGCGTGGAAAGTGTCATTGTCCCATTCTTACTCTAGCACATGAGTCGCAAATAGTATCGCTCGCTGAGAAGTCTAAGTCTTGCACGATCTAAAATTACAGGGAAAGCAAGGTGGATTGTGAAACAGTTGGCCAGACCCTTGATTAATGGTGAAGTTGTGATCAAGAGACTCAGTATACTGACGCGTAATAAAAGTCATGTCGAAAAGGAAGGTTAGCACCAGAGCTCGATATCGGGTTACGACTCAGCGGTGCGATATTGCTGAGGTATGTATGAACCCTGACACGGGCAGCGTGTTTCCGACGAGGTTGTCACCCCCGGGCACCACGGGACGTAAGATGTTGTCGAGTTGGGGAATGTCTCCAGCAATGCCGACAGGTTCCAAGCAAGAATCAAAGCTGAGGATTTTTTCGGAGTTTTGAAAAGGTGCGTTTGAGATGCCTTAGTCGTGGTTGATATCTTCGCAGCCTTGTATTATTTAACCCGTGGACTCAGATCAGCTCTTGGTCTTTCAGCGCAAGCGCTAGCCACTGCTTCCTTTTGCATCATGTTTGTTCAGGCTAGATAGATCCCATGAAATATGCTTAATGTTCCTAGGTGATGACCAGGGACTGTATACGACAGTGTAGAATTCTATGGGGGGCGGAGGGTTGGTAGGAGGCCAGTGGAAGTCAATGGGATTGGGTGAGGAACCCCATCCCACGCCAAGGGCAGAATCATCTAAACAAAACATCCAGACAAATGCGCAGCTCAGTCTTCTGCGAAGGAGAGCCCTTGTTTGCATAAATGTTGGAGGAACAACGTGTGCCGTAGCTTCAAGTGCATCTATGTGCTGAGATCTTCCAGAACGAACCATTTAATGTTTGGGGTTGTGTTTTCGCTCCTGTTCCTTTCTCCTCAGATCTCTATATAACCGTGTAACGCACTTGAAGACTGAGACAACTCAGCGTATGAATGCCGAGCGGTGAAGGCGTCACCGCTAACCTACGCGTGTGAATATAAGGCTGGTCTTGCAGTAGTGATCGATAGCCTTCCTTGTATCTACCCTTCCTGCGAGATTCTAACCGATTTCAGCGTAAGCGAAGCTCACCGTCGGACGCTTTTCCCTCAATAAAAAGGTTGTGCACTACGCTGTTCCCTACCACTTGTGAATCAATGTGATATATTGGGTCAGCACAAAAGAAATGTAGTTTGTGTTGGCGCCGTAAGCACGAGTCCTGCATCAGGCATGAACAGCCGTCGTCCCTTCACGACTGTCAGGATATCCCGATACATTGGCAATGCGTGCACAGGTGGAGCTGCCAATGCACGGTAATGAAGCCCCTACATCATTTGCATTGGGGCGGCCAGCACCCAGGGTAAATTGAAGGTAAAATTGGATGGGCAAAGGGAGGGCGCATTTTTTGATAGTTCACCATGGCTCTCAAGATCGGGGAACGGCCCGAATGTCAGGCCTGTATATTTCCGAGCCAGATCAGGGAGCATATGATGGGAGATGAAGGTGAACAAGCCGATGTCGAAAATCGATACTTCCCTCAATCGTGGGCAGTCTCTTGGCAAGTCGTTTGAAATTGGTGAGATTTATTGTGGAACGATGGAGCCCAAACTGAAGATTGAGGGACAATAAGGTGGCACTGGGAATTGACACTGTGCCTTCAACCACTAGGAAGCTTCGGAATGCTATCCGAGATGGCAGGTTGGGGTACGTGGTGAAGTTCTTGATGGAACCATAGATGGAATCAATGAAACAGAACAAGCTGTCACCAAAGAGCGACGTTTTCCCCGATTGCTGGGAGGGCATTGGAATAACACCAAGATTGGTTACGCAGCATGGTGAGCAAACGAGTCAAGTCAGAGAGGTATTACGCGGAACGAACGCAACATGCTGTTGGTATAGATGGAAACTGTCACTTGGAGTACTTCATAACATTATCCAGGACAATGTAGACAGCGAGACACGTGGACCACGGGCTGATCTCGCTACAGGTTAATTCCTTGGTCAATGCAAGAGCACCAGGATATTGTCCAAGATTATCCGGGACAGACCAGTGTTGCATGGCACCGGATGAAGGCCAACCGAGAGATTGGGATGTTCTTTGATCGCTGGGACTGTATCAGAATGCCATATAGGATAGGAGAGCGGCTCGGATGTTGGTCAAATGACTTGATTAAATTAGCAGTGTAGGATTTGAACACCGCCTCTCTGAAAGCACAATGTAACAACACCGTCATAGCACCATCCCCTCGGAATTCTAACAAAACGTTAACTTTCTACTAAAAGTAACAAACAACATTCGTGTTTGGATAACATAGGGTGAGCATATGAGAACAAATCAGATGTCGGGTGGGTATGGTTACCGTGGAGAGGTAACTGGTATCGGCCCTGGGAGTGATCGCTTTCTCGCTTTCAACGTGACTCTTATCGAAACGAACTCTGTGGAGGCACAAGTGAGGACCCGATTGTTGAAATCCTTGTTTCTTGGTACGCTGTGGACCGATCATTGAATACAATGGACTATATTTCTTGCGCACGGACATTTCCTTGTAGGATTGCCCGATCCTACCGTTTATGGCGACCATGTTGATGGACGCAGTCGAGGATCAGCCTAGTCAGCCATCTAATGACGGCCTATAGAGGGGGGCCGTTTGGCCTTCAAATGGGCCTAAAAGGGGGTATTTACTAGTGGATGTCCTGGACATCCTGGTGAAGACTGATCCATTCACCAGGATGTCCCCAGGACGTCCTAGGTCCTGGGATGATTCTATAATTCAATCAAATTCAATCAAATGCTTCTGTGATTCAATCAAATTTGTATTATTCAGGGTAGACATTCAAAACATAATGCCGCAATTGAATCTGATTTCCCATGACAATCCTCAGGCTGCTCAACTGTCTGTGCACAATGCTGGCCACTGTCTGAAGGGGTGTCAACACTGTTTCCCACGTCCCCAACACACTTTACGCAGATGGATAGCCCCTTTGAATAGCTTCCAGAATATATATTTTGAGACTGAATTGACCAATAAATCATCGAGAAAAACGCAAAATACTTTTTTGGACACGAGTCTTTTGGGTTAGTGTGGCTGTCCACCTCATGTCTGTGCACAGTGCTGGTCATTGTCCGGAGGGGTGTCCAGACTGTTTCCCACGGTGTCAACACACTTTGGGTAGTTGGATAGCCCCTTCAAATAGCTTCCAGAATATATAATTTGAGACTAAATTGACAAGCAAGTTATTGAGAAAAATGCAAAATACTTTTTTGGACACGAGTCTTTGTGATATCAGTGACCCGGGAATTTCGATGACTTCGATGACTGTCAGTGAAATTTAGTGGCCCAAGCACTATCCCAAAGACTAGCATCCAAAAAAGTATTTTGCATTTTTCTCAATAACTTGCTTGTCAATTTAGTCTCAAATTATATATTCTGGAAGCTATTTGAAGGGGCTATCCAACTACCCAAAGTGTGTTGACACCGTGGGAAACAGTCTGGACACCCCTCCGGACAATGACCAGCACTGTGCACAGACATGAGGTGGACAGCCACACTAACCCAAAAGACTCGTGTCCAAAAAAGTATTTTGCGTTTTTCTCGATGATTTATTGGTCAATTCAGTCTCAAAATATATATTCTGGAAGCTATTCAAAGGGGCTATCCATCTGCGTAAAGTGTGTTGGGGACGTGGGAAACAGTGTTGACACCCCTTCAGACAGTGGCCAGCATTGTGCACAGACATTGAGTTGGACAGCCACACTAACCCAAAGACTCGCGTCCAAAAAAGTATTTTGTGTTTTTCTCGATAATTTATTGGTCAATTCAGTCTCAAAATACATATTCTGGAAGCTATTCAAAGGGGCTATCTATCTGTGTAAAGTGTGTTGGGGCCGTGGAAAACAGTGCTGACACCCCTTCAGACAGTGACCAGCATTGTGCACAGACATTAATTAAGTTGGACAGCCACCATCAAAAGACTCGTGTCCAAAAAAGTATTTTGCGTTTTTCTCGATGATTTATTGGTCAATTCAGTCTCAAAATATATATTCTGGAAGCTATTCAAAGGGGCTATTCAACTATGTAAAGTGTGTTCAGACCGTGGGAAACAGTGTTGACATCCCTCTAGACAGTGGTCAGCATGTGCACAGACCATGGGATGGACGAGTATGGCATTCCGGGACAATTTGCAACCATTGAATCAAACTGAATTAGGACATCTATAGTGAAAAAGGCCTTTTAGGCCCCATGCAAACGTCCTGAGGTCCCCCCTATAAAGGCCCACATAGTGGTTGTCCAAGGTGTAGCAAGTATGACCTGAACTTTGCTTGGATGGACCGTGATGGAGAGAAAGATGAGTGTGCTCGCTATTGGTCCACTTCGATGATCCAAAGCCAATTGTTTGGTGATCAATAAGATTGGTGGACCATCACAACACCATTGGAATTCACCGAAATTTGCATGGTCTTGTGTGAGATCAAGTATCGGCACCCATCCAAGAGCCACCAGCCTCCCTTTGAGTTGGCCTTGTCCTATCGCTCCTGCACAACTTGAGTCGGATATCTTGCATCTCCTCATTCTTCCAAATGGTGCATCACATCACCCTGAGCGACAGCCTGTCCTACTGATCGATTTGCGTTCACCTTCCAACTGAAAGGGGCAGTGCCTCATGTTAACCACATGGCTCTTGGGCAGTGAAGTATATGCTTGCTTTGCTACCACTGTGTTGTTACCTGTCTGCATCGACCTGTTCCCTGTCAACCATGTCGCTCAAGGAAAAGGCTAATGCTCTCAGATGAGACATTAACCACATCCTTGCAGCAGGAGGTGACATTGCCATCCCAATTCTCACAGCCATCAATGTTCCATCTGATGCATTCCCTCCCCTAAAAAGCGCCACTAGCGGCACGCTCTTCATCTCCAATGAGGTCCAAGTAAGTGATGGGTTCTGATGAATCAGGAACTAAGGCTCATCACTCGTAACACAAAGAAGTTCAAGTCGGATAAGAAAGAATGGGACGAATTTGGGAAATATGTGGTTGAAGTTGTAGTGGAAGTACTAGCAGCCATCGAGTCCTATGACACTTCGACAGAAGAAGCAAAACCTTGGCTAGAGAACATCAAGAAGCTGGATGAGTGCGTACAGATGATTCTCAGTCAATAGGCTGTCCCATTTATGTGACACTCCACAGCGCGCTTAGAAAGATTACAACTGAAATGAAACCAATCCTTGCAAAAATGGAGAAATGGTCTGCTGTCACCAACTTCTCACACTTGAAGCATCCGGGAAGGATTGATGACTTCAAGAAAGTCCTCGACAGAGCTTTAACAATATTTCAGGTAATTCTTTCTTGCATTATTGTTCCACCACTATCCTGATCGATCGGAACCGTGTAGCTGAGAACTAGCCTGACAACACTTTCACCAGATGGGGCAGCCAAGATGTGTCTTCGGCGGACTCTGCATTAAACATCAGGTGACAAGACAATCACTAGGACCCCCTTGACCTGCATGTAATCTAAAATCAAAAATTAATATATAGTTATTGCCGCTAAATATCTGTCACCTGTCACCTCTTTTCTCCATGTCCTCTAATCAAGTTACAAAGCACTGCACAAAATGTGGCCTAAAGATGACTATCAAAGAATTTACCATCTCCAACAATTCCACCACCAAAATATTAAAAAATTGCCATACATGCAACATGGATGTTAAAGAAATGGGTTGAGGGTAACCCACATCTTTCTGTCCTTATAGACGACTTAGAATCGTCCACCTCATGTATGTAGGGCAGCTTAGTCGTGCAATTAGAATTATCCAATGGCCATGGAGCTTTTGACAGAAAGCTGAGACCTCGCGGTGAATGGGAGCCTGTTACGACGGATACTTGGCACTCGTTACGTCAGCGTACCGTGTGCGGGTGTATAGGATCACAGGTTGAGAGAACGTCCTGAACGAGACTAGTCGAGGACATAGGGCTAGCGGGTACTTGGCGCTCGAGGGAGCGTACCGGTAGCGAGTGAAATAACGACTCCTTGAGGGAGCTTCCTGAGAATTGATTGATGGGTACTTGGCACCCAATTGGGTGTACCGGCAACGAGTGATGTTCCAGCTCCTTGAGGGAGCTGCCAGAGACTGGGTTGACAGATACTTGGCGCCCAGTTGGGCATACCGGCAACGAGGTATGAGACCGTTCATCTGGCGGACGGTCCGTATATGTGTCAATGGATACTTGGCGCTTGTAAGAGCGTACCGGTGACGGAGGAGTTAGTCGTTCGTAGGTCGAACGACACGTGGTGGGTTCGATGGCTACTTGGCACTCGCGAGAGCATACCAGCGACGAAGGGAACGGGCTTGTATCGAATACCCATACGTCTGTAGAGTTAACCAGATGCTCACCGTAAGGTGAGACAGATGCAGGCCCAGTACCTGGGCGAACGACATGAGTCGCAGCAAAAGGTGATTGCGCATACCTGAGTTGAGTCACGCGCGAACTCGATGATCTGTGGCTAGAGTCGTCAACCTCGGCAGGGATGACCCATATAGACGACGACCGAGACATACACAATCTTACACAGACGATACAGTGTTGGCACAAGGAGGTTTACAGTTGTTGCACAGCAGAGGGTGATGTGTTATTCGTTAGGTTCCATCTTTTCGGCTCTTGCCGTACATAAACGTGACGCTAACTATTGAATAAGAAATGATCGCAAGAAGTCTCGCAAAATAGAATAAATATTCCGGCCAGCACCAAAACCCGATAAGGGAAAGCTTAGCGTGGAGTGAACGTGTAGAAAGGGGAGTAGCAGGGAGAAGGTAACAAAGAGAAGGGAAGATATACAGAAGGAGGACCCGCCATGGTGGACGTTCAGTCGACATGGTCGCGAGAGACTCCATTCCTGTAACAATGGAGCTCACAGCCAAGAAAAAAGATGCACGGCAGAAGCAGAAAGATTCACAGCAGAAGCAGAAAGAGACTACCTTCCTTCAATCCCTGACTTCCCCCCGACAGTTCCTCAGTAAGCTTAAGGATCCAGAGATCCTTGAGCATGTAACTACATCCAACCCAACTACACTAAAATTTGAACAGAATGTTACCCTTCCTCTTAAAGACTTCCAGGACGATACTTCAAGTTCTACCCAACTGGCTGCATCATTGCTCCCCACAGCAGAACTTGGCCCTGACCGACACCAATACTTTATTTTGTATGCAAAGTATTTGGCTGGCATGATATCCGAATCTACCAAATACCGTTGGTGGTCAGTCGACACCCACATTCATTCCCCATTTTATAGTTTGTACTTACCAACCAGTGACAGTTACCACAAGCACAACGTTAGGAAAGGTCTTTCAGGTGCTCTTCACCAATACACGTTCCATTGTGCACAATTTTCATCAACACAAAAGCACCACCGAAAACACAATGACCCATCATGGCACTGTGACACTTGCCGAATGGACACCTTTCCCTGTAAAGGATGGCTTGTTATTGATATCCAGGATATTTGGGACCAAACATGTGCAGGTGTCCAAATAACTCACACCATGAGTCATGTCCCCTATGAATGGGTTGAGGTGCCTCTGGCTGTGCAAAGGTTGATTGAGGTTAATGACTCAAAGACATTCGAGGATGTGAGTAACCTCGGCATTTCTTGAAGAGAGGCCTCATTTAATATGCTTACACAGATTTGGACCAAGATTCTTGCCAATTACCACCCAATCCAATTCACGCGGAAGTCTGCATTCACCATTTGGCAAAATGCAGATAAAAAAAAATGGCATCTTGACCAAGATCCTGTTATATTGGCCCAAAAAGTCCTTGAGCAAGCATCAATGGAGAAGCTCATGTCAGGGTTACCTAGGGTATCGGCTATTCCAATGAAGGGCCAGGATCAATATGAGGCACTTGCGTTTTTGGTACCTCACATCTTAAAAACTTGGGGCCCCCACATCCGAGAAGTGTTGATGGATTCAAGTTGTGAGTGTACTATAAACTTCGCCCAAATTATAGCAAATTCAATTCTTTGGCTTACCAGGGAAGTGTGTGGGTGGTGATTGGGAGCTGTTTGTTCTAATGGGGGAGGCATGTGGGTCAGGCTTGCCATTGGGATGGCTGTTCATTCGCCCAAAGCGCAAAGGCCCTCCACAGAATGCAAAGCACGATGTTTTGGCTGAGTGGATGCACTATTTCCACGAAGAAGGGAGGATCAAGCCACACTTCACCCTTTCCGACAAAGACTACTCAGAAATAAATGCATTCCAGCTGGTTTGGCCTGAAGCCAATTATCAACTGTGTTACTGGCATGTTGTTCGGGCAGTGAAGAAGCGACTTGCAATGCGGAAACGCACACCAGCACCATATGCAGTGGATTGTGCCCAAAGTCGGTTTGAATTCATTGAGAGATACTTTGTCCCAGTTGGACAACGACATGAGCTGTCAGGAAGCGATGTAGGTGTTGAATCCCATGTAAATTACTAACAAAGCGGCACAAAGCATCAACGAGCAAACCAGATTGTCATTGCAAAGGAAACTATTGCAACACTCCGTGTTCAGCTTGGAGATAGATTGATAGTATGAAATGCACCACCTAGAGCCATGGTGGTGCTCAAACTGAAGAGGAAACAAGCACTGGATGGTGGTGAGGTGGCGAGTGATCATGATCAGGGAAGCAGTCCGAGAGATGGTATGTGCAATATTGCTTCTGATCCTTATAATTAAAAGATGCCACAATAGATTTAGACGCCCACATTGGGGGTGAAATTGACGACAATGACAATGTCTCAGAGGATGGAGATGATCCCCATCTAGATGAGCTAGAAAATGCGCTTTTGATGCTCAAAAAAGCCAGATGTGGCACGCGGAGTGCCGAGAATGGTAGGGACAGTGATGCAGAGGAGTTGGAATCCCAGTCGGATGGTGAGGACTGTGATGATGCCCCAGAGTATGAGTTGGAAGCAGGGGAAAAGTGCGTGACTGACCCTGCATATGAGTTCTGCCCCGAGGCACACCATTGGCAACTCCTTCGGAAATTCACTCAACACCTCTGCCATCACCCATTCTTCCCATCACCCTCCAGCAACTTCGAGAACTCTAGGGACATCCAACGTGCCTGTGTCTATGACATGTATGTTTTTTGCCGGGAGCATGGTCTGACAGAGGCTTGGGCCTATCTTTGGAATTCTTGGTACAGCAAATGGGATCTCTGGGCACGATCCTCCTGTGAATCTCGTCTCTCTCATGTCTGCACAACCATGATCACTGAAAATCACTGGAAGCGTCTAAAACATGGCTATCTTCGATTCAAAACACGCTCACCGCTCGATCAGACTGTTTACATCATTGTCTATTCCACCATTAACTCCTATATTCATACATCCCACTTTCTTGAGCCTGACTGGTGCCTTGGCAGGAGCTGCCCCCTCACAACTTGGCAGCGAGCTTTCAAGTCTGCTTGGAATGAACTTGAAAAGAGGCCCATCAGCAGCCACAACTATAATACCGACATCAAAGACTGGACCTGCCACTGTGGTGCACAAGCCACCAACACATTTCACCTTTGAAAACACCTCATACATTCTGCTGGGAAACCTCCTATGGAATTTTGGGAGGATATTGTCAGGGACCGGTCCGGGGTCGAGAGCGTCCGGGTATATCGCCCAGCGCTGAGGGCCCGGTGGGGTATGAAGCGGGCGCATACGGGGACAGATCCAGCGCAGGCGAGTGTCCCTGAAGTGGGAATAGTGAGAAGAAGACTGCTTCTCTGGTTCCCACCCCAGGTATGTTTATATACATGGTGCTCAGGTCACATGAGAGTTGCCACATCGTCCCCATGCACAGCCCCAGCCACCCGGGTATCCCCATGGGGGATCCCAAAGGGATCCGCTGCAGGCGCGTGTGCTGGGTGTACCTGGGGGTTGTCCGGGGCATCCAGGGTTGGGTGCGTCATGCATGGGTCATGGGTGGGTTAGTAGTACATCGATCAAGGGAAGTCGTCCATGTAAATAGAAATAGAAAGAATAGAGAATGAGACGGAGAAGAAATAGGAAGAGGGGGAAGTGGAGGGAGGAGGAGATAGGAAGGGGGAGAAGGGGTAGCGGGTGGAGTGGAGCCAGGTGGAGCTGGGTGGAGCTGGGTGAGGTGGGTGTGCCCTGACAGATATCTACCGGTGTCGTGTTATGCCCCTGTATCAGCATACTCACCTCCGGAACCGTGACCAAGCTGCCAAACAAATCAAGTGCACTCACTCATCCTTAGCAGATCCGACTCAAGATTTGGATCACTCAGCTAAAAAGGTAAAATATGACACTTCAATCGCTCATGCTGACATCTTGATTCAGGTGCGCATGGATGTCAACATGTCAGGGCAATAGCCCCGAACCCCGAGCCACATGTAAATTAGATACATATAGTCACATGGGCAAGCGGGAACCTCCGGGTAACTGCTTACACACCACTGTAAAATACACAAACTTGTATCACTTACGGCTTGTGTGCTGAGCTACCCAAAGACCTCACACTTTTTTAAGTGCATGAGGTGTGTTTTACAACACAACCCACAACTCTACAATCTTAACATCTGACTCGGAAGCGCCTATGGCACCTAAACACGCCCGCAAGGGCAAGGTCGCATCTGCAGCGACACTAAAAAGAAACGAGCAGTTTATTAAGAAACCGCAATCTCCCATCATGGGAGATTCAAACCAAAAGCCGTTGTCAGACGACGATGAGGATCAACATGATCCGGCATTAGCTACCACTTCAGGGCTGGTCCCTGAAGGCTTTAGAAACTTACGTGGAGTAAGTGCGGGGCCAATTACCCCCAGAACTCCACAACACACCAATCTAACCCAAGCTGGGGAAGATCCCTCACCTCCTCACGAGGTGATCGACTTGCGCGAAAAACACGTAAGTGCTGAACGATCAGCCCAAAAAGCTGATCAGATAGAGTCGCAGGAAACTCCAGGGCCCCACTATCCCCTGGAGTCCCCCCTCACATCCCCAAGTCAAGCCCCAAAGGCAGACAAAGGGAAACAAAGGGAAGAGCCCCCGCATCGGCTATCCGAAAAACTACTGGACTTGTTCCAGGTTCCATCTGAATGGAGGACAGAAAGTGAAGATCAACTTCTTCTCAGGCTTTCAGCCTGAGAAGGTGCGAAGATACGCCCTGAGAGCAGGATCTCCCAGAGCAGGGAAGCTCCAAAAGAACTTCCGCTGTTTACACTCCCACACACCATGCCAGACAAGGCAAGGTCGCCAACCTTGGATGAGGTCTCCGAGATAATGAAGAGGAGGCGAACTGAAATGAGGGAGTTCACTGAGGAAGCCTTACGTAAAAGTAAGGAAAAACCAGCGAACAGACCCCTCTATGAAAGGGAAGCACCCTCCGCAACGGCCTCGCCTAAACAAAGCGAGTGTGGAGTGTTCACTCCAAGAACCCATTCTGGAACCCCCAGAAGCGGAAATGTCAACTGGGGAGAGTCTCTGCTCGCCCAACCAAACTTCCTCCTGGAAAACCAGGAATCGTGCATAATAAACGCGATAAACTCGATCCAAAAAAAGATCAAGGAAACGAACCATAATAGCACGGCTCGTCTAGAGATAACTCTAGAAAGAATGGCCAACACAATCGACCCGTTGACTGAAAAAATCAGCGAACAAACAGACTTGCTGAAGGAAATAAATTTCTCACAAAAAAGTGAGGAAACAAATAAACACCCCTGGACCACGGTCCAGGACATAAATAGAACTCGTGAAAAATTCATGAAAAGAACCACCAGTGAAAGCACACTGGAATATCATCAGCAACTTGACAGAGATGCTAAGGAGATCCTTCTCCCAAGGATAGGAGAAGACGATGCCGAAAGAAGGCATCGTTCAGAGATTAGGAGGAGAATTGGCATGTACCAAAGGTTCGGCCAAATGTCCACTTATGATGGACCTCTCGAACAGAGAGGTAACTCATTCACACCCTCTCAAAACAATGAGAGAATACAAATACAACTTCAGGTGAATACGCCTGAAACCAAAGAAATGCTGCGAGGAAGATTTCCCCCAGCAAAAACCCCCCCAAAGGAGAGATCTCCATTGGATAGCGACCCTGTGAAGGCAGGGGAGCAAGAAGAGTACCTGGAGAAATGGTACAAAAAGGCCATAAGAATGGCCGAAGTGAGAATACTCACTCCCTACCCAGAAGGAGTGAAGCCAGAAGCCCTAAAGAATGGGCTGGCATTCCCTGACAAGAAATGGTCAGGGGAGAACGACATGGAATCGTTCTGGCAGTGGTTCACAGAACTACTGGGATTCCTCGCCTCACGAGGATGCAAAGGTCCCCAATTTGACGAAGTCCACCTGGACTGCTTGATTCGTGGATTAGGGGGGCCTGCATTCGACCTCGGAATTAGACTCCGAGACGAAACTCACCTCAGAGGAGATGAGGGCATGTTCCTCAAAGTTCTCAACATATTGATGAGAACCTTCATCAAAGCCTCCGCCGTGTTGAATGCGACAAAGAAATACCGCAACGTCAAATACGAAGTGGAAAAAGGCCTAAAACAGTTCTACTTAGAACTGTCAAAAGCAGCGTCCCAGATGGTGACGCCGCCAGACCAGGCATCCTTCAATGCCAGGTTCCTAAACTACATTTCCCTCGAATGGAAGAGGGAAATGATTGCTCATGATAGAATCAGAGCAGACTTCTCCTCAAACGAAGAGATGTTAAAAGCAATATCTCGTGTAGACGAGATAATTGACGGGCTGAAGATGTCTTCAGCCTACAAATCAGGTTACTATACCTGAACAACTACCACGGCAACCATGAGCCACGGCAGAGCCCTCCCATCAGGAAAGAAGGTGGAAGAGCTGAAACCCAGATGGAAAGAGGATACATCCTCGAAAAACTCGAGGAAAACTGACCAAAAGTCAGTTCCAATTTGCGGCAAATGCAGCAAAATAGGGCAAACGAAAGATTGCCCAAGACACAATATAACGAGCGATGAAAAACCAAGGCGCATAGCTGCCATGGAGATCGTGAACTCAACGGATGAAGAGTCGAAAGGCTCATCAGATGAGAAACCAGAGAACAACTCTGGTAACTCCGAAGCATCAAGCTTCGAAGTAGAGGACCCATACAAAGGACCTCAATACTCACCCGACTCAGAGGGTGAGGAAGTCAACGTTGGGACCATAAGGATGGGCCCAATGTCAGTCGTCGATCACGATGACATAAATTATAAAATCAAACTGGCTGTAGCACACCAGTTAGAAAACACGGCAGACGAAAAAGTCGCCAAAGCCTTGGTGGAAGCACCAAGAAAAGACGCCTTGGGGAAATACACCAAAGTACCCAAGGAAAACAAGGACAAAGGGAAGAAGGACCAAAAGCCCATCGAAACCCAGTCCCCCTTGTTTGATGCGAAATTCCGCATCTCAAAAGATGCGGGAAAATACCCCGCAAACAGACCGCTCTCAATGAAGAGAATGCTAACAGCTCACATAAAAATAGCAGGCATAAAAGCCTATGCGCTATTCGATAGTGGAGCCGAAATGGACGCTTTATCGCCGGACTTTGTCCGCACGGTCCACATCCCAATTCTCCAATTGGAGAACCCAGTCGTCCTTCAAATGGGGACGAAAGGAACAAGATCACAGATCCTGTTCGGAACCAATGTGGACGTTGAGATCAATGGCCAAATAGAAAAACACTACTTCGATGTAATTAACATCGACAGATACGATGCCATCTTCGGCACCCCTGGTTAAACAAAAACCAGGTAAGCTTAGACTTCTGGTCCCACAAAGTGAGAACGGTGAACAAGGGCAACATAGACACCCTTGGAATAAGTGAAGACCATGTGACGAGATCACATGGATGGAAAACTCGAGCAAGAGCCCGAGAACAACCAAAAAAGAAGCCCCCCTGACAGGGAGGCGGGATTGAAACACACCTCAGGGTAATCAAAAGAAAATACCCTGAAGGTTGGCCCAATCCTAGTCCGGAAGAACTAGAACTTCCAGACATACCACACCTGGAAGGTCTCTCCATGAATGTCAGGGACAGCTTGAGGAAGGCGGGGGTAGCGGCGTAACGCTCGGCACTAGCAGCCCAGGCAGCGGCGGGGCGGTGAGACCGTATAGTGGATAGCCCTTACTCAGGCTTACGTCCCTGTGTGGCTTCTTAGGCTGAAGCGGGAAATGCATTGTTATTAGGGTGGGAAGCTAGACTAAACTAGGGTACTTGCCTGAAGCGGGAAATGAGAAGAAGGTTACTTCTTCGGTCCTGCTTCGGCTTAGTTTATATACAGGTGTGAACGGGTCACATGGGAGTGCCACGTCACCTTCGGACGAAGCCGGGTTACCGTGGGTGGCTCCGCGG